GTTACGTCTCCGTTTGTTAATTGATTTCCGTAACTTCGTTCCGACGAAACTTAAGCGACAAAAGTCCTTTCTTAATAAAACTGGTTTATTCTTTCCGAATATAACTTTACCGATACACTCAACTTCAACAATCGCGCTAAACAAACGCTGTAACGTCTCTCATGCTCTCAGACTGCAGTTCAATTACTCACTGTCTATACACACCTTACATTCCTCCGTCACGTTGTCACCCTCTTTTATATATCCGACTACCCTATATCTAGTAAATATTAGAGCATTCGCCACGGTACAGGATAGATCTAGAAACGTGGCGTCACAGTAGTCATGTGACTCGCTGACGCAACACTATTTTAATTTTTGCTCGTACGTTATAAGGTTATTAACCAAGTTATTTCCTTTCAGGCACGAGTCTTGGGCACTAGGCAGGTAGATTATTAGGCGCCTGTCCAGTGAAAGTGGGTTATAAATCAAAATCAAGCTTAAATACCTAAATCGAATTATTGCTAGATGATAGCCAATACCCAATAAGGTAATCCTTTTGGTCATAAATACATAAAATGCTATGCAAAAACAATATCAAGTTTATTAAGAAGTCTGTATTGCTTAATTCGTGGTTTAACATGCCTCATTTGTATATCGTGTACTTCCTGGAGATTGTGTTCCCGTCACTGCTCTGTTCTACTTCTATAAAGCCACGAATTGTTATCGAGAATTCCATTTCTTCGTAGCGACTTCCTGTTCTCTGCTTTTAACATTCACAGCTTTTCCGGATGCCTTGGGGCGTTTCATTCATTAGCCATGCTTGCCTCACACTCTAGCCACAGTTAGCCACCAAACAATTCATGAGTTAATTAAATTTGTAACCTTAAGTAAATCTTAACTCAGTCAAATAAAATCAAAGTCGCTAGTTTAATAACCTAACTTATTCCACGAAAGCTTCAATCGTAATCTCCCGTGTGAGGTGAAGAAAAACAGAGGTTTCTGAGCGCCTCTGGTTGTCTCTCAAGCCCTTTCGGGGCTTGTTAGATTTTAAAACCATAATACCTGCCAAGTGAGTAAGCAAGCAAGTCCAAAGAGCTCTCTTTTCCACTAAACTGATCCCATAAGTCCAACCAGCTAAACTGCTTGTCCTTACATATTGACCTAAGCCTAGTATTTTTTCATAATAAGCTACTTCTGAAAATATTAACTTATTATAGCCCTTTTCTTTAAATGATTTTATTAATCACTTGTATTTAACAAGTAGCTCCTATAACCTATATACTCTTCTCTACATCACTGCTAACACCCTTTAGGCTTTATTTATATTACTTGCTATCTCAGTTTAACAATTCCTGTTTTAAGCAGAAGGTTATGTTACTTTCTTTCGAATTTATTACATTTGTATTTAACTAAAATATGGTAAATGTATTTTTAAAAAATACCAGTTTAATCTTATCTTCTGAAGCCAGTGAACCTTTAAATTGTATTGCTAAAATACTGTTGCGTCAGCGAGGTCACGTGACTAGTATCGCGCCACCTGTTTTCTAGAAATATCCTGTTCCTTCAAGAATGCCCTAGCATTTACTAGATATGGGGGTATTTGGTATATATAAGATGAT